TTCCTTCCTTCCTTCCTTCCTTCCTTCCTTCCTTCCTTCCTTCCTTCCTTCCTTCCTTCCCTCCTTCCTTCCTCTCTCTCTCTTTTCCCTCCCCTCCCCTCCCCTCCATTCCCTTCCTTTACCTTCCCTTCCCTTCCCTTCCCTTCCCTTCCCTTCCCTTCCCTTCCCTTCCCTTCCCTTCCCTTCCCTTTCTTTTTGCAGGATCTCTGTCTGTTGCCTAGGCTGGAGTGCAGTGATGTAATCTTGGCTCACTGCAGCTTCTACTTCCAGGCTGAAGCAATCCTCCTGCCTCAGTCTCCTATGTAGATGAGACTACCGGCATGCACCACCACACCAGCTAATTATTTATTTATTTATTTTGTAGAGACAGGGTTTTGCTATGTTACCCAGGCTCTCATCTTTTGACTTCATCTCCACAGTAGTCCCATGGGTGGTGCTAATAACTTACTCAGTCATGCAGCCAGGAAGTGAGAGTAGAATTTTAACCTGGGCTCCAGAGTGATGAGCTTCAGAGCAGTGTGGCCCTGCTGTCCTTTGGCTGTTCTCACACTGTTACAACAACTGATGTCATTCATTGGCATTCTGTCTTGACTGTAAGCTCCTTGATGGTGAGGGCAGTCAAGCACTGATCTTCTTCAGTAACTGGTATATTGTATGAACTCACAAATGGCAATGATGATGAATGAATTTAATGAGGCACAAAATAAAAAGTGAGTAATACATGGTCATTTATTTCAAGAGGCTCACTGTCTTTCTTTCCCTTCTCTCCATCCCTCCTGTGACCCTCCCTCCCTCACTTCCTTTGTCTTTTCTTTCTTTTTGTTTTTCCAGATAAAAGCATTTAATAGGAAAGTTAAATATTAAAATGGCATTTTAAAATTTTGTTTTATTTATTTATTTATTTTTAATTTTACTTTAAGTTCTGGGATACATGTGCTGAACATGCAGATTTGTTACATAGGTGTACATGTACCATGGTGGTTTGCTGCATCTATCAACTCATCATCTAGGTTTT